GGTAGAAAAAAAAAGCGAGAAGAGGGCTCGCCGCGCCTTCGCCAGTGGCTGCTAATGCCATCGTGCTGTCTAGTCACATAGCTTCAGAGAACGAGGACGTGGGAACGAGACCCTCACGAATTTGTGCTGGGCTCTTAGTACCAGTAAAGCAAAAAAGGGAGAAGTTTCTATGTCCAGAGGAGGCCAGAAAATAAGACTGAAATTTAGACTCGGCCTGGACGTGACGGAAAGTCCAAAGACCACCAAAGGAGAAATGAACCTTGAGTCAAGACTTGTCTCTGCCACAGGTACAGTTTGTGGGAGTCGTGCTCCTCCTGCGAGAGGGCGTCAACAGTGCCCCCATTCCAGAATTTCAGTGGTTCCCCGGCCCCTACCAGAGGCAAAATCTGAAAAAGAAGGCACGCCCGCCCCCCTTCAAGTGACGGGTGTTTGGGGGGCACGGGAGGGGCTGGATAACAAAACCCCGTTAGCCGGCTTGTGATCACATGCCCACCGCGGGGGCCGGTGCCAACTAGCCACCTGCGGACTGTCCCATGGGGGCCACCTGCAGCTGTGGCCTGGCTCCCGAGGTGCTGCTCAGTCTCTTGAGCATCAAGGACACCCAGGACATGACAGGGCATACGGGAAGCGAGACGGATAGACGGCACCCCTCGAGTACCACTGTGTTTGACATGGAGAAGTGCGAGAAGAGGGGCCAAGGGAAAGGAACGGCCTTAGTCAGCTGGGTCTTCAGATCGGCCTGGTGTCCCGTCCCTGACTGACAGTCCGCGACCTCCAGCAGACACACAGGGAGGGGGACAGGGCCTCTACCCCGCTCGCTCCGCCTCGCTCGCTCCTTGCTGGGTTCTGGACAGCAGCAAGTTCTCAGCTGAGCCCCGTCTGCCTTTGTCTCCACGCGACTCCCGCCTACTGTCCAGCAAGGCTGGTGAGGAGCCAGGGAGGGCCCAAGGCCGGGCGGACACGCACAACCTCAGAACAGCAGAGCCCCCGAGTTCCACAACACACTACCTCCTGAAGGCAGGACAGTGACATGGGGAGGGCCACAGGAGTGAGATGGCTTAGCAGGACACTGAACACAAGTGGGACACCTACAGCGAGGGGCGCCAGGAGAGCGCTCCAGGAGCTGGAGGGACGAGAAGGTGAGGGTCTCGTGCACCGCACCTGCTGTCATGGCCTGCTCCCTGTCCCCTCAGACCCGCCCTGGGGCTCCGCTTCCTGACAGCTGTAGGCACTCACTGCGTTTCTGTCACCGTCACTGACTGGGGGAGGACTACAGGAAAGCCTGAAGCAGCAGCCCGGGCCGCAGGGTCCAGTCCTGGTCACAAAGCTGGTCCAGGGCCAGGGGATTCGGGTCATGGAGGTGACGGCGGTGAGACAGTGTGCCGTGGGGTTTGTCAGCGCTGTCCCATGAGAAAACAGGCAGGTTAGTATTCAGTGACAGCAGGGAGAGCGGTGGCGGTGGAGGCCCTACTGAAACGAAGGACGCCCCCGGACTCGGGGTTAAGGTGGTGCTGCTGGGGGTCCAGCTATGGCACTGGGTGACGGCAGCAGCGCGCGTGCTCAGCTTGGCACAACCGGGCTCTGAGCCGGCGGTGCATTGGCTTGCATTGGCTCTCTGTGGCTTTATGTCGCAAATGGTGGCATCCCTAGTTTCTTACAAGAATACTTTAGCTCTGATGTTTCCTTCCAAAAAGTACGCATTTCACAGCTAGCATTAGCTCATTCTGCCAGGTTTGGGTGAGCAGGGGTTTTTGTTGTTAGGGACGGGGAGGGAGCTGCTGGTGGCAAAGGAATCCAGATGGTGGAAGGGTTTCTGTTTTGTTTTTAATAATCAAGAGTGGCCTCCGGAAAACACCTGGGAAGGGAAATGCCTCCGCTACGCCAGCTCTTTTCAAGTAGCGCCATCCCTAAAGCAGCGTCTAATCCCTCGATCGCTAAGACAGTAGATTATGTTAGAAGGCCTTAACTGTGCTGCTAATTCTATTTTCTTTGAATGTAAGCAGATAATCGGAATGTTCTGCTCACTGTGGCAAAGCACGCCTCACAAATCATAGAATTAGACTCATCTAGCCAGTTCTGAGAATCTCTAATCGTAAAACAGACTCTAAACTCTAATGGAGATAGTTATCTTGCAGCAGCTAGGAAATAAGAAAAAGGGATTCTCTGCTCACTTGGGTCATAAATCCATACTCATTCCAACTGTCATAGATACCAATTGAATCCCAAAGGAAGTAGCCCCATGACTGCACGTGTATTTTGAATGCGGGTGTGTGAGGAATGGGTGGGCACAGGTTGCTTTTAGGTCTTATAGAAGAATGAGCATTTAAGTAAAAGTCTTTTCCAGGGTCCTTTTTTTTTTTTTTTTTCCCCTGATCTAGCGTAGTTACTATACATTTTACTGCAGCTATTTTGAGAGGAACAAAAATAGAAGAACCCCAAGGCATAAGAGCCTTTCCCTCAATTCTCTGTGTGTGTCTGGGGTGTGGGGAGAGGACAATTACTAACAGCCTTCCTCAGCATCTTCACAAAGTGGAACTGTAACTAGCACATTGGTTAGGTTAAGATTCCTTCTGATATATGGGAAGGGGAGAAGATTCTATAAGCTATTAAAGAAAAGTCTTTTCCCGGGGCCTTTTTTTTTTTTTTTTTTTCCCCTGATCTAGCGTAGTTACTATACATTTTACTGCAGCTATTTTGAGAGGAACAAAAATAGAAGAACCCCAAGGCATAAGAGCCTTTCCCTCAATTCTCTGTGTGTGTCTGGGGTGTGGGGAGAGGACAATTACTAACAGCCTTCCTCAGCATCTTCACAAAGTGGAACTGTAACTAGCACATTGGTTAGGTTAAGATTCCTTCTGATATATGGGAAGGGGAGAAGATTCTATAAGAGGAAGCATACTTTCTTCAGTGCCTACCAACCAACACTAGAAAATCCAGGCCTATAAAGAAAAAACAGGGTTCATGGACCTGGGCTTACCTAGCACAATCATAGGCTTCACGGGAACAGCTCGTGGAAGGCCATTTGGCACTATTCTGGGTGCTGGTGTTCTTGTAGACTCATCTTTGATCACATACTTGAATGAAGACTTGCCAGCGATGGGAAAACCAACCAATCATATCCTAGAGGAAGGCTGGTTAGTGACTTAGTTCCTACCCAATGTGACACCTCAGGACTGTGGCCAGGAGACCACGTGGGAACAGGGTGCACAGAAGAGAATGGAGGAACAGTGGAAGGAGTGAGCATGGACTCAGAAGTGCTGAGGAGACCATCACAGTGACACCACAGATCACAGTGACAAAGGAAAAGGAAATGAAGACAGCAGAAGGCAGCCCCTGACAGAAAGAGCCTGGCCCTTGCTATGTGAGAGGATGTGAGAAAAGCTGGGGCAAACTCCCCGGAGTCTGTTCGCGCCATACCTCTGGAATGCTGCCAAGTTTCCATTCATGCCACATGGTGGTCTAGAGCTTGTGCTAACCTGAGTCTTCTTGTCATGTCGCTCTGGTTCTTAGGACTCAACGAGAAAACCCTATTCAATTCTTTGTAAACTTCTAGGGACATCTTTTCTGATGGTGATGGCAATGGAAATATTAACTAAAGAAAAATCTGAAAATCCTAAGGAGCTGGAGAAACAGCACACATGTGTCCTCAAGTCAGGCCACGTGGCACCCTGGCTGGATAGCGAGTGGGAGGGAGGGAGGGAGCTGCAGGCCTGGTCGGAGGCTGACTCAGTTTGGGACTCTGAGGTTTCTAACAGAGATCCAGCAGGTTGAAACTGGATTTGAGAGTGGTTTCAAATAATTTAGAAGTCAAATGGGGAACAATAGTCAAAGGCTTCCATTTTGATGCTGAAAAAATTGCAAGTAAAAATTCCCTTCGAAGAGAACATGAATACCATGTCATTATTTTAGTTTACTGAGTTGCTATTCCAAATGTTCTTGGGAGCATTAGTGCTAAAAGGGAACAGGGGATGGGAGCTCTGCCATTTTCAATCACATAAAGGATAGAAATCCTTTTAATTATGACCATGCCAATCTACATCCTGCTAAAACAGCTAATTACATGTCAGGAGGACACTCAGTCATTCAGAACAATTGCCATTATATTTTTATATATTCATTCTGTGCTACCCCCCTCAATTACCATGGTTACAATTTGAAAAGATTCGGCCCAACCTTCATTTGATCACAGCACACCAATGTGAATTTGAGAGTTAATTATGGCTGCATAGAGACACTCTTATTTAAGAGAGAGAGAAAATGAAAATGGAGTCAAGGGAGCTGGCATCCCAAGATTTCTCAAGAATGAGCTGAGCTGTGTGTGCACTCGCACACCTGCCACACAGGCCTGGGACGTTGGGCAGGCCATGAGCACAGGCGGATGCTGCCCTGGCCCGCGGCAGCCAGGGGCAAACGTGCCTGCCGCGTGGAAGGGATGTCAGGAGGGGAGAAGGGTCAGCTCTGCTGCAGACGCCTCCTTCCTTCGGAGCTAATGGCTATGGAATGTGCATGGTAAACTGTCACCTGTGTGAAAATGCTAGTCAGATTTCACTGGAATCAACTAGATCTCGGGCTGCTCCTAATGTCATACGAAAGTGCTGCAGAAGTCCAGGGAGACGTGCATCTGTGAGCCGAAGGCCTCCCTGCCAGAGAGATAAGAAGGGTGTCATCAGTCTCCCCTTGTTCTTTACTTTGCTCTCTCTTCCCTCTTCTGACTACACGAGATGGCCAGTGTTACAGGAAACTGGGTTTCTCAGATTGTTAGTTTTCTTTTTTTTGCTACTTCCTATCCCCCCTCCCCCCAAGAAAGAAGAATGAAACTACCATGGAAACTTCTCATTTTGCAAACTTCTAGCTTTTGAATGTACACAGACGTGAACAAAGTTGCATTTCAAACATCAGCGAGTCACCCATGAGCCCAGTGAGATGACAAATCACTTTCAGTTTATAAATAAAGAGAATTAAGCTCAATCTTCGGAGTGGAGTTTCCGTAATCAGACAACCTACTTGTTGGCTTCATGCCTCTAGGTAGGGAGGAGATCCTTCGTCTGGAGTGAAAGTAATCTTTTTAAACCAAGAGTGAACAAGGAAAGAGGCTGCAGGCTAGAAGAAGAAAAGGTCTGCTCTGGCAGCATGCTAGACAATGTCCTCAGAGGCGTCCTCCCCAGGAACACCTTCGCTCTCACCAGGGTACAGTGCTTCACACTGGATAACAGGTGTCCCGAAGTGACACAGGTCAGACAGGATGGAACAATGTGAGGGTTCTCAGGGCATGCTGCCCAGTTTGCCAAACGCAGTATGGCTGACAACTGATCCTCAAATCCTGAGTTAAACATCCTTGCTATTTAAAGAGCACACACTGAAAGGAATGCTTTATTTGTGAAATCCCACTACTGCTCTAGTGCACCCCCACCCCACCCACCCCCAAAGATAACACCAGCAGGAGCTGGTCAATGTGCCCAACTTTTACTTAGAAAATCTTGACAAAGAAATCCGGCTCAGTAAAGCTATAAATGGATTTGGCTGGTCTCAACACAGCCCCCAGTGAATACAGTAGTAAAACATTACTAATAATCACAACAAAATGACAAAATGTCTCTCACCACTCTGACGTAAGACTGAAATCACGGACGGAGATTAACACAGAAACCAACGTTGCAAGGTGGAGGGTCAGTCAGTGCGGCGTGCCGCTGAGCCCGGGGTCACCGACGACGAGAAATTATTGCCTAAGAATCTGGTGAGATTCACTGAGGAAAAAATACTCTGGTTCTCTGAATAACACAAGTCAAAACACAATTTTAAAAGGCAAAGCCACAAGTTATATGGGAAGACTGCTTCTAACCAAACCCTTCTTAAGACCAAAGAGAGAGTAAGGACTTGAAGTTCACATTTTCAGGATGGGTGGGGGGAGGTCATCTGTGAAGAAGGGATTAACCCACTGCTGTGGGCAGAGATAATACGGTTGGTCAGTGGAATACGCAGCTGGTCAAGACAGGAAGGAGTGTCTGTGTTAAAAGGTGGACCACACCTACCCACCCCACCCACCCCCAAAGATAACACCAGCAGGAGCTGGTCAATGTGCCCAACTTTTACTTAGAAAATCTTGACAAAGAAATCCGGCTCAGTAAAGCTATAAATGGATTTGGCTGGTCTCAACACAGCCCCCAGTGAATACAGTAGTAAAACATTACTAATAATCACAACAAAATGACAAAATGTCTCTCACCACTCTGACGTAAGACTGAAATCACGGACGGAGATTAACACAGAAACCAACGTTGCAAGGTGGAGGGTCAGTCAGTGCGGCGTGCCGCTGAGCCCGGGGTCACCGACGACGAGAAATTATTGCCTAAGAATCTGGTGAGATTCACTGAGGAAAAAATACTCTGGTTCTCTGAATAACACAAGTCAAAACACAATTTTAAAAGGCAAAGCCACAAGTTATATGGGAAGACTGCTTCTAACCAAACCCTTCTTAAGACCAAAGAGAGAGTAAGGACTTGAAGTTCACATTTTCAGGATGGGTGGGGGGAGGTCATCTGTGAAGAAGGGATTAACCCACTGCTGTGGGCAGAGATAATACGGTTGGTCAGTGGAATACGCAGCTGGTCAAGACAGGAAGGAGTGTCTGTGTTAAAAGGTGGACCACACCTACCTACTTTGCCTGCTGTGGGAAGATAAAACATTCCAGCAAAGAAATCAGCTCAAGAAAAGGGCTCAGTGGTGGAAAAGTGGAGAAGAATGGAAGAAAGGGAAGGATAAGGCTAGAGATTCCTGATTAGAGTCTATTTATACTTGGTGCCCAAGAAAAAAGTTTCTAAAACGCTCATTTCTTAAAGATAAAGGTCAGATGGGGAACTGAGACAAATGTACCAGTGAATTCTTCATAGTTATTCCCTGGAGGTAAAAACAATCTGGATATCTGGTCCTGACACGGGTGCCGTTGACCACTGAATTGCCACCTTGACCTATCAGGAGCCAGAGCACTGACTGCACTTATAAACCTCAGGTTTTATGAGCTGCCTGCTCACTCACGTCTTTGTACGTGGTCACGCCACTGAACTGGGGTCTCTATGCCTGCCCGCCCCAACTTGCTCCTTCCTGTGCAGGACGATGAGAATGTGTGTGGAGTTGGGCGAGCTGCCCCACCAAATGACAAGTGTGTAACTGTTCAGAATCCATAGTAGGTAGGCAGAGGGTAACTAGTTACCAACTTCTTAGGGGAACTGAGAGAGTGAAGTACACTGCCTTCAGGCATATTTCATTCTTACAAGTTTGCTGAAATGTACCAAAACGTCTGTTTGGTGCTGAATGGCACTGGAAGGCCTCAGATAAGAGTGTACCACTGGCTTCCATCCACTGTTCTCAAAGATAGGCAGAAATTTCATTAACATGGTCCATCTTTAAAAGGTCCCTATGGGACGTGTTTTAAGAAGGGGAGAAAGCTTACCCATCTGATTCAATTAAAATGTCTTTAAAAAATAATAACAATAGATAAGTCACATGAATACCTGCTGGCAAGATTCCAACAACCCTCAACTTTTAAGTCTACCTAAAGAGCCAAGAAGGAACAGCCCCTAAAAGAGTCCTCCGGGTGCTGAAGAAGTCTAGAATGAAGTGAGAGGAGGAGGACACAGCGCAATGAAATCCAGACAACATGACTATTTTTAAAAAGCCTCGCTATTTTCCCTTCAATAACAGAGTAGTTTAGGATTTTACTTTGAAGTCACCTCTAAAACCTGGAGAGGCTTCAGAAAGAAATGTACCAATCAGAGATATTAGAAAGCAAACACTGGCAGCTCCGTATGTCATTACAAGAACTGAGGGGGCCTGGACAAGACTGCAGAATTGACAGACTACGACCCGATGGGAGACTTACAGCTGGCCCCAAAGAAGTACATTCACTCTTGGTGAGAAAGCAAACACTATGTGTAAGGCAGCAGGTCTTAAGAGCAGTCAGCAGTCTTCTCTCATTACAAGACTTGTGGGAGAAAGATCCTGTCCTCTTGTTCTCGCTGAACTCAGTGTGGTGCTGTCCTGCCTGGGCAGAAATGTCCTTTCAGTTTACCACATCACCAGATAGGGCCTGGCTCTCCCTTCACGGATATCGACTCTCCTTTATTCTCACAAGCATTTTTTTTTTCTTCCTTAAAGGTCTTAAAAAGAATGAACCTTTTAGTTCTTCTGCGGCAATCACGGTATTTCCTTAGAAACTGCAGCTGTCGTAACAGTTTGAATCTGTTCCTTTAAAAAGACCAGCAAGAACAAATGATACTAGCAGTCCTATCATAAAGAACCTATCAATTATAATAATCTCCTCACAATAAATCATGTATGTGGCTTGTCAGAGAGAGTGTTTTCTTCCTTTCTCTCCTTGTTCTTCTGGATTCAACTGAGAGTAAGCAGACAAATGTCCACCAAATGGAAAGATACAATATGCTATATTTCTTCTATGTAAAATAAGGAAAGATAACACAATCTCCTAATGGAAATAAAAAGCCAAATCAACCAAGCACGAGTATGAAGGGTGGAAGGGGTGTATCATTCCTGAGAATAACTAATGCTACTCTTGAAAGTGTTGGCTCGAGGAATACAGTAAAACAGAGACGACGGCTCCACTTTACTTCACTTGTCGGAAGCTGGGAAAAGTACATACATTTTCCCCCTGAAATCCATGGATAAGAGCAGGACCGGGCCCTGCCTTCACTGTTTAGTCACTGACATAGTTCAGTTCTCGCACTTACGTAAGCAAGATGAACAGATACGGAGCTGACCGAGTCAGTGTGTGCCTGAAGTGGAGTGGGACCAGCCGGAAACGGGTGGACATGACTATCTCACAAAGCAGACAAAGCAAGTTGGTCAGTCAGTCTCTCTCTCTCTCTCGCCCCCTCATGCACGTGCCCACTCGCAATCATTTTAAGCTGAATACATTTGGTTGGGGAGGAAGAGTTAAGAGGTAAGGAAATGGCACCTTCCTTCAAACTGAAGATTCTTTTCAGATAATGGACAGACAGACAGAAGCCCTGCTAAATAGCCAGTCTCATCTTCCCCTTTAAACGAGGCTGCATTATACACAGGGAGGAGAGATGGAATGAGGCCGGACACACACAGCAGTCGTGCCTCTCAGACGCACCCTGGGCTGCTACAGTGAAGGCTGTCTCCTCTTACCCACGGTGACGGTGTGTCATTTAATCAGGATGCCAAGAGATCATTTTCATACAAGGCCAGCAGATGTAATTTTCTGTGATGCATGAATAGTTCATCATTTTGCTACTAGATGACAAGGTGATCACAGGGTGACTTTATAACGCAAGTTCACTGTTTGGTATTTTGAGTTTTGAAAAATGAAAAGAAGATTTATCAAATATAAATATCTTTCAAAAGTAACAAAAGTGCTACATATGTGATCAAGGAAAAAAATTCCATTAGTTACTGCCGCTTAAAGTAGATTAAACTTTACAAATATTACCACATCCATTATCAATATGGCTTCCAATTATTAAATAAATTGCCTGTAGCAATATAGCTTTTCACACCTCTACAAGGACAGAGTACAGAGAACACCAAAGCAGTCACATCTGTTGGACCTCACACACCCACGATGCGAGTGGGAGGCGTCTCCTGCTTTTTCCTGCTCCTATTCAGGCATTTGTGATAGTCATGAATTCCCACTGCAAAGTCCTTTATCAGCCTCTCAGACTGAGGGCGCTTCAGTTAATGGATATAAAGACTGTATGTTCTTTTACTCATCTTTGACCTTAGCTCCATCCTTGAAAGACTTTTTTTTTTCTTTTTCTTTTTCCTTTTTTTTTTTTTTTTTTTTTTTTGTGGGGGGGGAGAGAGAAACCCAAGGAGGAGAAAGGGAACACCGACAGGAGGCAAAGCAACTTCCACGGTGACCTCCAGAACTTTTCCAGGTAGGCACTGGTAACTGTGCCATGGAACATACACTGGTTCTGAGAATGGACTTAGCCTCCGTTACACATTCAGCTTCTATATATTTTTTCCCCCAATGCTCTCAAGCTGGGTTCTGCTTTTTTATGACTTTTGTTTTTTTGTCTTTGTTTTAAATCATGGTCCCAAAGGCAGAAGGCAGTATTTTATCTACTAAGTCACACAGCTTGTGAGAGGAAAGGATGTCTGTGTCAGGCATGTTAACATCAACCAAAATCTGAGATCGAGTTTTTCCATTGACATTCTCAGCACAGCACCCAAAGAAGAATAATCTAGCCACACTGTGACTATAATGAGGCACGGCTTATTGCAGCTGGAAATCAATTATTCTCATGCTGAGGTGGGGATTCTAGTGTTCCTTTTACTCTGTGGATACTCCCCAAACGGTATCTGTCAATCCTGTGCCACTACCTCAGCTTGCATCCTATCAGTCTTGAGGAAGGAAAATGGGGTACAGACTAGTGTTACATGAATCTAAAGGTACCCAAGATTTTACACGTAGCCTAATATTGAGAACTGAGGGCTATCTAAATACCTGGAAGCACTTTCTTGGAATGCTAAGACGGAGCAGCAAGATTTTCTAGCCTCAGGGGCTGGGAGAGGGAAGTCTGGTTGGTTGGTTGGTTGGTTGGTTGGTTATTATTAACTGGGGATTAATACTGAGAGAGTATATGCAAAGGCTGAGGGCACCATGCCATCTTCACAGAACAAGACCCTAACGGCTACCTGACATACAAGAAACTGCAAGTTATACTGTAAGAACACATGTTAAGGACCGAGGAAAGTCTGCTAAGGTGCTACATCTAAACTAAGTTAACTGGTCACGTTTAACTCTCCCTGATCAGTCATCATCCAGGGCCTCTGTCTTGATTTCGCTGGCTCCTTGTCGGGCCAATGCCAAGATAGTGTGGTTGACTGCTGCCATTTCCACAGCTAATGAGATGGGGTCTTGGTGGTCGCTATGGCTCGTGCTGTCATCCTAGACATGCAGAAACGAGAAATGAGCGTCATTAGTGGGCTAACAGGTGTCTCTAGCTCACAGAAAGGCATGCTGGGGTGGGGGGTGGGAGGGGCAGAACATTCGTGGGAAGAAAGGCTGGGGGGAGGGTCTTATATAAGGTAGAGGTGAGTTGTATTTAAGTAGACACTGAATGGATTTGGGTCCAGAGACTCTCAGTTGACATTTTTATGATTCGACAAATAGAAAGTACTAAAAATGTTTGTTTTTATCCTTGCTGAGAAGTTTGTTTATTCTCTCAGAAAGATTGCTGGTGACGATCGAACCTGGAGTGACTGATACAAACCCACTATTTTGGCTCTTTCTATTGGCAACACGTGTAACACTGACCATCGAAGGCCATATGAGTGAGCTATTAAATCCGGACTGCTACTCTTACAAATGGATTATTAGCATTCATGGTATTTCTCTAGTAAACTGAGAAAACTAAAACTACAGACACCCAACATCTCAGAGACAAAAATGCATTTCTGTAAAAAAGGAAGAAAAAGCATACTTGATTACAACAGGACAAAGGTGGCAACTGGCAGCAACAGCTCGGGGAGAAAGGTGTGGAGCTCTCCTGCCGTGTGGGGGAGTGAGGGAGTGTGAAGCTCTTCTCCCCACACCGCTCAGTGTGTGAGACAATAAAGCTGGGAAGGAGACTGGCACTGAGGACAGTGTTACAAATGAACAAGGGTAGGTTTCTCACCTGTCACATCGTCAGGGGAACTCTGTATCAAAGAGCTTTGGAAAGGGTAAGTCCCTTAGGAAAAAAAGCAGGGGAGGTGCTGCCCTCAGGGCATCTGTAAAAAAAGATGGAAATGATCCATCTATGTTGGTAGACTGAAAAGTAACAGGAATGCTTCCAACTAGAAAGATTTACAGAACATTCTCTTGAATAAAAGTTGGGCTATGACCTGGAATCCACAAGGGACAAAAGGGCAACTCTCTGGTATTGTGGGCATCAACGGTTTCCTTCTGCCTCTCACAGATCAGGCATTAGAATCTAAAAAGCGACTGGCACAGAATCCTGTGCATTCTCGGAGTGTCTGCCCTCAAGCTGGCAAACAGGCTGCTGGGAGAGGGAAGAACACAGTGGAGTCAATCAAGGAGCTGGCTGAGGAGGAGACTCCAGAGCAGAGAATTTACTTGCTGGGGTCCAGGAAAAGGGACCACACATTCTCTGCATATTCCAAATGGAAACACAATTTAAATCCTGTACAGATTTTAGTGAGATCTGTCAACACATATGTGGGGGAAAACTCCCACGTGTTTTAGTCACTGAATTACTACTCCATGCAGTGGCTACAGTTAAATACATTTTCCCCCAAGCAATGCAGAATAAATCAGGTGAGGTGAGAAGACATGCAGGTACTGCATTTATGAGGATGCATATGTCAGTGTGCCAGAGAGACTCTGGAAGAACCACTCCTCTGGGCACGAGGGTTCCCACTGCCAGGGGGCCAGAGGGGGTGGGGCCTTCCATTGTGCCCTGCGTTGGAACATGTTTAGGCATGGGTTCCAGCTGCCCAGTTGCCCCTAGATTTCTCAGACACTGAGTGTGTGTGGTGAATGGTGTAACTTGCTTGTTTGGGTCAGATCCTCCTCTCTTCTTCTACCTTCTCTGCTTCTCTGCCTCCCTCTGAACTTCTTCCCTCCTCCTCCTCCCCATTGCGCACTTGCCAAGTATCCTGTTGTATGACAATAAATCCGTGTGGGTGAATAAGGATTTCTCACAAATTCAACAGGACAACGGAATCTTACCACATTCCTTTCAAATTACATGAAAATCTAACTAGACACATGAGCAGAGTGGAGGGACAGCAACTGTTTCCCCTCCCCCACCCGTAAGATCACACCCACAGAACGCCAGGTCATACCGTCCCACCCTCAGAAGCCAAGAAGCGCTGCCCAGCTGCTCACCTGCTCGGAGTAGTCGTTCCCGTCGACATCGTCGCTGTTGGAGTGGCCTCCCGGACTCTGTACATCTATCCCATGACTCTCCAGGATTGCTGCTTCTTCGAAAAAAGCAAATAGATCCCTAAATTATCTGTTACCTTATCAAAATTACTGAAATGCTGAGCTGCTGTGTGGAGGAAATCTAAACATAATTAAACAGGAACCTATATTCCTCTACATTTTGTTTCCTTTAAACGCAGAGGAAGGAAATTCAACTGCACGATGTCAGGGCAGGTGCACCTCTGCCACTCTGGGGTCCTTGCTGCTCTGCACGTCAAGTGTGAGACGGTGCCCACTGTCAGGCATTTCATAAACACCTGCTGACTGACTAAAATAGCCCTCCTATCCTGGGAGTCTGTGAAGCACCTGAAAATTGTAATGATGAACAGAAAATATATTTATAAATAAATGAAAAGCAATTTTAGAAGCTCAAAACCATTCCCCTACCTCAATTTCATCCCTTCAAATTTTTCTTTATTTCCCTGCTTTCATTTAGAATAAAGAAAAACTCTTAGTTCTTCCTTTTTGATTGTATTTAGTTCTCCCTAAAGAAGTTTTGACATTCTCCCTCCCTATTCAACTTTATTAAGATATAAGTAAAAAAGAAAAATAGTATGTATTGGTGTATATGATAACATGTTTTAATACAAGCGTATATACCACAAAATAAAGAATTCAGATTTTTTTTTTAAGAATTCAGGTTTCTTAAATGCCCTTTATACCCACTGCTGTGTTTCATGTCTATTAAGTCACTTCGTTCCAATTCTGTAAATCGGGTGTTTCCTTAATATGCACGTCATAGCTCAGTAATAACGAGAAGTATAGGATATCAAGTGTAGGGTCTTCTCTCAAGACCCCACAAGTATCCTTAATATGTGCTACAGGAGTAAGAGGTTGCTGAGGGGTGTCTAATTCTATGTTCTAGAACATGATGAACAATGACTTTTATAAGTAAATCCCAGTGTTACTCTTACTACAAGTAGTGTAAATACTAACTTCGAGCTACGAAAAACGTATTGAAGAGGACTATAAAGGCGATTCTCATTCAGCTTAAAAGCTAGGGTCATTTAAACGTCCAGAGTCTTAATTGAAGTCACTCTTAAAATAATCACAATGTTTGTAACTGCTTCACAAGAGAAAGCAGCCTCTCTGATACATTACCGATATTGGCTCTTCTCTTGATCTCCTTCCGTCTGTTAGCAAACCAATTATATACTTTCAGGGAGGTAACTCGTTCCAGATCTGACAGTTTTTTGCCTGTGAATGCATGCGATAAAATTCAGATCATCTATATTCAGGACTCAAGAATGAACTAGTTTTAAGTACTTTTCTTTTCTTTTAATGTTGCTTTTGATTGCATTTATTGCCAAAATAACAGATGCAGGGGGAATTTATTTTAGCATTACCTAGTAGCATGTACATACTCAAATTACTATTAAATGAACACAGAGATGAATACGGAAATAGCAACTAACAACACATGCTCTTTAATTCAGAAAGTTATATACAATATTAAAGAATTCTACCAAGTCGGTCTGCTAGGGTGCCAGATCAAAGTCCACATGACAGTACTGTGGCAGTATCATTTAATTAGCATCATTCTGGAGAAGTAAGTTATTCTTTACCAAGTAACCAGATAACAGGGTACTTACATCTTTAAGGCCTAGATTAACTATAGTCCTGCACTTTAAGACAGAGGACATTATACATGTTTTCTTGAAGGCTAAAGACCACTAAGCCTACCCATTATTGCAGTGCTGCTGGGATACACAACATAATTCCAAGTGTGTTTGAGATTTATTGTCATCTTTGCTTCAAAGGTGATTTCTTAGAGCGTACATGCTTACTGTTGAGGACCCCCAAACTGTTCCCTGCTCTCTTCTTTTTTTCTGTCTGTCAGCCTTTAATCCACAATTGGTGGAGAGACCAGATGTTAGTTAAGGCCTTGGTGATAGGCGAGTAGAGTGTTCTTCAGGGAGAGGTCAAGATCCTTCACAGCTGTAGGACTGGGACTTTTGGCTTGTGTAAAATAGGGTTGAGATTCCCCTCATTAATGTGTCATTGAACCTGAGCCTGCAGGATCTAGATTCTAGGTAAGGGAGAATAAATTACTATTTCATTGTTACAGAGATGTGATACCTTTGCATATAGCCTTTAAGCCTTGTACTAGTAAAGCTTGCTTAAATAATTCAAACTTTAATATTATTTTGGAATTGATATATTTATGCTAAGTTTTTGGAAAAAGAAATCTATACACTAATGAACAAAACTAATGATTTCAAGGTCTTGTACCTTACAGAGTCACTCCTTAGAAACTCTCCAACATAAACATTTGATTTGAATGCCACAGCAACATCTCCCAGAAGTATTGTTTAAATAGGACAGGGCAGTGACCACCTGCAGAAGGACGATGTAGATTGAGCTAAGACCATGAAGCTGGGATGAGTATGTGACTTAGTACCTTCAGTGCTGATCTGTAACTGACAGCAGTATAACAGCAGAGCCGTGGTCGCTATCTTTTTTTTTTTTTTTTGCTATCAGGTGTGTGCACTCATTGAAGAGACAGAGAGAGAAAGTGCGAAATCACTCCTCAGGAGGACTGGCCACACTGCAATCCCTCCTCCTCCAATCTCCTCTTGAGATTTAGGGAATGCACACACACGTGTCCAGTGTGATTTTCAAGCCATCGAGTCCAGGACTTGAACTGTGAAGTCAGCCATGCAGGATCCAGCTGCCCCAACCTCCACTCGGTCTGCTGGCCCTGTGCTTCCTATCTTACCTGGCTTCTGTATAACTGCATTGCAAGCATTTGCAATTTCTTCTCTTTTTGCTTCATCTGGGTATTGATTCTGTTTGAAGTAACTGCAGAGACAACAGATAAAAACACAAATTTTTTACATTGAACTAACTACAGAGACAACAGATAAAAACACAAATTTTTTACTTTTTAAAATAAGCTCTCATTAAGACACTGACTGAAAAATATCTTCTTATTTAAAGTATAACATTTGAGTGTTTAGTTCAGGCTGTCCAATGAAATCTGTGAGAACAGAAATGGTCTCTTGGTTACTAATGGAAATGAGACTAATGTAAGGAATGGAATTTTATTTCATTTTTATTAAGTGGCTATGGCATGGGGCAGCAAGTCTACATACTACTCTTCTTTATTGAAAGATATCATTGATATAAAAGTCATTTTTGATACATATGAGTGACTGAAGTCACAGAGTTTTATAATGATAGGACATTTTTGGGGGTCATATTGTTTGTAGAAGCAAACAGTCCATGAATAGGAGAACAGCATCACAATCTCTGGGACATCTATATTTATAAACAGGTACTTAAAAATGACTGTCCACTGACCTGGGGGATTTTTTTTTTTTTTTTAGAGTTTTTTTGCTATAGGGCGTGTGCACTTGCCAGAAAGACAGAAAGAGAGACAGAAAGAGGGAAATCATCCCCTGGAGGGATGGCCACGCTGCAATCCCTTCTCCTCCATTCTGCTCTCGGGATCTTGGGTACGCACGCACACACACTGGGCGTGTGTTTAAACCACTGAGTCCAGGACTTGAACTGCGGTCGACTACATGGGAGTCCAGCGACATAGCCATTACAACTGTTGGTCCCGGGGATGTTTATGACATATCCCGAAGTGAGAAAAACAATCTATAGAATAATATGCAAAATACTATTGTAAAATTGAAAAATGTCTGTCTAGGTGTACGTAAGTTTGCCTGGGTAAGAGCTGAAAGGGAATGGAGTATAACTCCAGGCTATAACTCCTGATACTCATTGTGAGGGAAGAGGCTTAGTGAGAGGAGATTTAAGCATTTAAAAATTTTTTCACATGTAAAAATGTATGTATTGCTTTTGAACAACACTTTTTAAAAAAATAGGTTTGCTGGACCCGTCCTTAGAATTATCCAACCCGTGAGACTGTATGTGGGAAGAAAATGCTTATTAGTGCTATTTTCTCTGTCATCTATGAGTTTAAAAAAATGAATTTTCATGCTTTGAACCTATAAACTTTTTTATTTTTTATTTATTTTTGAACCTGTAAACTTATGATTAGAAAATGATTCCTCATCAAAATTTTAATACCTACAATTTCTTCAGAAGTTCCCTTCCCCTAGAATGCAGCCTTTCCTATTCCCTCACCCTGCCTATCTGCTGTGAGCACCAGGGCCCCTACGCCTTCTCCTTCTCCAGGACCACCGGAAACCGACTCTGACACCGCCCTCTTCTGGGTGGCCCTCTCTGCTGTGCCCTCCTACCTTTCCTTTCCTAAAACACAAGTCACATAATTGTATCCTCCCAGTCTTGTCAACTGCCATCCTCTACCATGGTCTATTTCTGAATTCCAACAAAGACAGAAGAGAGAGAAGTGAGAAACCACCTCACGGGGGGTAGGGGAAGGAGGCCACACTTCTTCTCCTCTAGTATCCTCTCAGGATTTTGGGACACACACACATGCCTGGTGTGCCTTTCAAGCCACTGGGTTCAGGACTAGAACTGTGGTCAGCTATGTGGGAGTCTAGCACCTTCACCACCACACCACCTGCTGGCTCTCTAGGGGTTAACTTTTTAAAACTCAAGTGGGAGCCACATTTAAGAGCAGTGGTACCCTATGGCCAAACTTGTTTTCATCAGGCAGTCTCTCTGGTGATACCACAGAGGCAGAAGCTAGTTAGGCAGCTGTGGTGGCAGCTGTAGCAACAGCTGACGAGAGGACCTGAAGCAGGCTGAATCGGGAGATAGAAAGGAAAGCTAAGACAGAAGGGATGCAGGCAATGGTAACAAATGCGTTCAAAGTGGCCCTAGAAACAGTACATGCTATTTATATTCACCTTCTAGCATTTCAATCTGTAGATTATTTCAAAGGTAGATTCTTTCTACCATCACCAGGTGGATAAAATGCAGGAGAATTTGGCTGTTAGAGTCTAACAGAGACCTGCTTCTGAAATGGAACTTTGAAGTTCAAAACATTCGTTTATTCCATATAAGAAATTTTATAGCCCTAGACATTTTCTAAGACACAAAAAGGTTAAAAATGTAAGCAAATCTACAGGTAGCAATAAAGAAGTGATAAAATAAATCCAAAGGGCACTCTACTTTTACAGACAAAGGACACTGTCAGCTAAGTGATCAGTGAATATCTTCGCAGAGAGAAACTCAATGATCGGTTTGCTAGACAATGACAGGAAAGAATTAAAATGAAAAGTGGCAAAATAATTTACATGAGATGAGAAACCATCAGCTAGTAGCAAATGGAAATGTCCTTGAAGCACTTTCATTCCTAACATTGAAGCCCATAGCAATTGCAGCTAGAGAATCCCTCCTTTTGTGTCTGGGTACACATACAGAAAAAATAGACGCTGGTCCTTTTAAGCAATGAAAATGAGCATTTTCCTCTGTGCCTTTATGTAAACTGTTTCTGCCGAAGGGTTATTTAAACCTCACTGTTTTAGTTATCCAAAAGGTTTCAAGATTGTCAGGTATTTCTCACTACCTATAATTCAGTGTGTATTTATTCACTAAGTAAAATTACTGGGCAGTAGGGGGAAATGCTTGCTTTTAGAAGAAAGATTACTTGGGGCCTACAGGTGTCCTGTGGTTAAGGGCACTGGACTCTCACCTGGCTGAATATGGTTTGAGTCCCGGACCTGGTGGCTTGCTTTCTCGCTTTCTCTCGCGCTATCTCACATTCTGTCCCTCTCTGTTTAATTAAAATAAATAAAAATAAAGTTGAACTTAAAAATTTTTAAAAAAAGACGATTACTCATTCAAAAGAAAATAACTATAAACTAATATACTTTTTGGAAACTAACATACCCTATTTAAGAGTTTCTAATTGCTAAGTGATTTCCAATAACAAAACAATTTAATTTTCTTTTTTGTTTTCAAGCAAGGGAGAGAAAGCAGAGATGAAAGAAGTGAGAAAACCTCTAAGTAGAGCAACTATCTTTTGCTAATCCAGAAAAGTCTAAGAAACACTGGATTTCAACCACCAAAGACTCTCTGCCCAGTCTTCTACTCCTACTCCCCAGTCCAGCCAGGAGCCAAATTTAACTAAAAAAAATAGAAAAAAAAAATTTTAATCCATCAGATGACCAGAAACCACCACAGAGGTACAAGAAATATGAGAAACCAAGAAAATATCTCTCCTTTAAAGGAGAGAGTAACTCCTTGTCCTCCACAAAGAAAACAAGAGAACTCATGGAAATGTCAGATAAAGAATTTAAAATATTCATAGTGACAAAGCTAAGAGAGATGCAATAGAATAGAGACAACGAACTCCAGAAGATGCAGGAGAAAAGAGATGTGGAATTCCAGGATTTGGGGAAGTTCTTACACGATCTGAAAGAGGAAGTACACATCGCAAAAAAGAATCAAACGGAATTGTTAGAAGGCTGCAATACAGGAAATCAAAACTTCCATTGAAAATATCAAAAGCAGATTAAATCATACAGAAGATCAAATCTCAGATGTAGAAGATAGAAACTCTGACCTAGAGAAATTCACCAAAAAGACTGAAAAAGAATAACACAAAAAATGAGAATAACACATGACTAATACTAGACACCATTAAATGCCCAAATATCCAGATCATCAGTATCCCAGAAGGCAAAGAAACTAAGGGCATTAATAATCTATTCCATGAAACCCTGGAAGAAAACTTTCTTACCCTAGAGAGGCATGCAAATATCCAGACCCAAGAAATACCAAGGACCCCACAGAGAATCGACCTAAGAAGATCTTCCCTGAGGCACATAATAGCCAGACTGACTAAACCCACAGAGACAAGATACTATAATTGGAAAGAGAGAAACATCAAGTTACTTTCAAAGGATATCCCATAAAGTTAACCTCAGACCTCTCATTGGAAACAATGCAAGCAAGGAAAAAATGGGAAAATATATTCAAAGTGTTAAGTGAAAAACAGTTTCAACCATGAATACTATATCCAGTAAGATTATCTTTTATATGGGAAAATTGACAAAAATATTCTCAGATAAACAAAACCTGAAAGAATTTATCAACACCAGATCAGCTCTCTAAGAAGTGCTGAAGTGAGTACTATACCAGGAAAACTAAAGTTGGACACACAGAACCAAGAGAATGGTAGGGACAAGTCCAGAGTTGAATTTTTTTTTTTAATAATTATTTATTCAATTTTTTATTTATTTTAATTTGACCAGAAAGACACACACACACACACACACACACACACAGAGGGGGTGGGGGGAGTGAGAAAGCAAGCCACCAGATCCAGGACTTGAACCGTGATTGGCCATGTGGGAGTGTCCAGCACCTTAACCACCACGCCACCTGCTGGTCCCCAGAGTTGAATGTTAACTCCTAGAGTTTAAATGGAAAGATCAGACCATAGTAATACTGCAAATTCAATAGAAAAGAGATTAATTACCTAAGTTTGAACTAGTGAAATATAATTTTTGACTTTAGATTAAAACAGTACTGATTTTTTTTGATGCTTTGATTTCCATATTTAAGGATTTTTGTCTTCTCTTGAACTGCTGATAAGTCCATCTACCTACTATTTAAACTGAATCCTAGCTTTTTCATGGCTTTAGGTTTCAAGCAAATTTCTCTTAACATTTTTTTCTATTTTGATCTATTAAAACTAATACTTATTTTTAAATTAAAAATGCATTAAAAAAACCTATTAATACCCATTTAATGATTGCAGTCCCAGTGAGGTACTACTTTATAGTATGTTCACTTTACTCACTGAGGTTTACGCCTAAAGTCAGACATGCGTTCATAAATATGTATATATCAGCTGTGCTGGTTATTGAAAGTCTCTAAATTAATGTGGAAAAAAAAAAGGCATGGAAAACAAC